CGATTTGCGGTTATGCGAATCTCATTTTCTGCTACGGCCACCGTAGCTTCTCCTTAAACAAGATAAGCCGTGTACTCTGTGTTGGAACTTAAAGGACGCGTCTGCGTGTGTCGCTCCTTGGAAGAAGCGCAGGAGGCCGCAGATAAGCCTCCCACACATATATATATTTCGAAGTACGTTAGTCGTAATATTAATAAAGGACGTGGCGCATTTCGTCGCGCTACGTCCTCTTCACATATAAGATCCAATCATTTTTTGTAATCGAGTATCGTGCTCGCCAGAATGATAAGAACCTCTTTTCTTCTTTAACATGTTTCTCATTTACATATACTTATCGTTTCCGTCTATGGTTTACGTGTTTATATCACGTTAGATAGGTTTCTTGGTTCATAAATAAATTTGTGTATTCGAATTTTTTACACAGTAAAAAATCGTGCGTCAAAATGTAGAACTTTTCTTGTTATTACGACGTTTTGATTATTACTTCAATGTAAAATTAACATATAATACCGATATGTTATTATTTTTTTAATCTTTTCACGTGTTAAATTTATGTTAACTTTGCAAATTAACATTTTTTGCGTGTCATTTAAAAATGGAATATTGTTTAAGCGCTTTTAACACAATGATTTCAATTAATCTAGATGTCTCAAAGTGTCAATTTAACATACTAAAAAAATTTTTTAAATCTNTGGCCACATTGTACAAACTAAAATGTTTTATTAACACTTCTTACGAGTTACTACTGTTTTGTGTAGTTTTAATTATTTTATATGTTATAATTAAATTATTATTATTTAAAATTTTAAAAATCTNTNGCCACATTGTACAAACTAAAATGTTTTATTAACATTTCTTACGAGTTACTGTAACTACTGTTTTATGTAATTTTAATTATTTTATATGTTATTTTTACATCACGCTTACAGTCAAAATAACAAATATAAATGTAAAGTATTGTGTCAAGTATTTGACTTTACTAGTTTGTCAATAAGTGACTCACAACGAATAAGTTATTTTAACGTAAAATTTAAAGTGGACCTCCTGGAACATGCAAAAAATGTTAAAATTACCTTTTTTTTTTTTACTGTGTAAAATATGTCGTTTACACGTAAAAGCGCAAATTACTTGTTTCGACAATATTTGTCATTGTTTTTGTGTGTGTGTGTGTGTGTGTGTGTGTGTGTAACAGATCATCATCATATGTAGCGAAATGAAAATAATCTTGAAGATCGGCCGCGATAGAGAGAATCTCGCGTATCGCGCGATCAATGATCCAGACAGGTCTTCTCGTCGTCAATGTAATTTTTTAAGATTCGCTAGACTAACCGATCGAGTTTCACAGCTTTTCAATATGTAATGAAGCGAATAAATTACCGTCGCGCCAAGTATCTGGCGTGCAGATGACGTCGAATGATGGATTATTCAGATCAGTTCGGATTTAAAGTGGTATAAAAATCTTTAAGTCACTACATTGCGGTATAGGGTTTACCTTTTAAATTTAAATCCTGAAAAATAATTACGGTTGTAAATAACAAGCGTGCTTTAAATTTTAACTCTGACTTCTCAGAGAGAAAACGTATAGCTATATATATGTAAGTGATAACTTCGGAAGACGTGTTAAAGCGTTATGAAACTTCTAATATTAGATGCAATGTAAATTAAGCTTTATTCATTACAGTGTAGTTTCTGAACACGCTGTGGCCACAATATATAGATATAAATATCAGCGCGCGAAAAAGTGATGAATATCTTTCAAAATCTGTAACAATTTTATTTTCATTTATTTAAATAGGCCAATTTTTGTATTAATTTTTGTTTTATTCAATTAAAATCAAGTACGATTTCCTTTCGGGATCACGAGATGGAAGAAAGTAAGGTGGACGAAAGGTAGAAGGATGAAACGCGGGGAGAAAGAGAGAGAGAGAGAGAGAGAGAGAGAGAGAGCGGGGTCAGCATAATGTCTGTATCAGAAGATCAAAAAAGGTAGAAAACCTCGAAAGAAAAAAGAAGAAAACAACGACAACCGGAATCTTGTGCGGTAACAAAAGATAAGTTTTGAGAGAGAAAGAGAAATAAAAATACGACGAAGAAAAATACGCGGCGAGACCCAAAATTATGGAGAGTTCGTCGCTTGGAAATTCAGAATCTTGAAATCTAGCTTTTTTTGAAGGCCAAAATTCTAGACCTTTTTTTTTACTTTTCTTTTTATAATTCTCACAATATAGTTGCTTTTTGGTTGCGGTTTTATTTTATTTTATATTCTCGATTCCTTTGAGTTCTCAAAGATTTATTTTTCAAATATTTTTACAAACCAGAAATGAGGAATTAGAGAGTGCAAGACTCTTGAAAATTTTTCTTCTTGTCTCTTGCGCATAGAATGTTGAAACAGCGAATCAGAACGAAGAAAGACGAAGAAAGGAAAATAAAAACGTATCTGGTCCAGTGTCAGCCGCTGACGGATGGGGCCCATGAGCTTCCCCAAGGCCTTACGAATCCGCAATATCGCAGTCCCCTTATTGTCTTATTCGTTTCCAAGTGGTCCAAGTGTGGAAACGACAATTCCATCCTCATTCTCAGACTGTTGAAGATTTTTTGAAATTTTTGAGATTTTAACTAATTCTTAATTTATATCAGATAAAATAACAAATAAAATTTTGTTACACTTTACACATACAATGGAATATATTATTGTAATCAAAGTGAAACAATTATTTTTGTAGATATCGTCCGCTGATTAATTGCTAAATCTGAGTAGAAATGAAATTGTGCGGAAAAATAGAGTATTTTTCACAATAAGGCCCAGTTTGAATATACATATATCGATAAAAAAGTTCACCAAAATGATTTTGCTAATATTCGAGCTGCAATGCCCGAAGATCTCGTTTCGAAGATCGGTAAAATATCAACTGAAACAACATCAAGATCTTCTCTCTTCTCTTCTCGTATTGCCTCGCCAGATCGTGCTAGTGGTCCCAGTGGGGCCCGCTGACGATGCATCATTCCTGTTTTATCGACACGAAGTTAGCGCAAACTGAACTTGCGTGAGGCCCCGCGGGGCCTTGTTTTTCACTCGAGTCCGTTCACGTCAAAACCGGTTTTCTACAGAGAGATTTGAATTTCGCCGCAAAGAGCGAATCTCTCTCTTCGGCTCGCCTTTCTTCTCCAGTCCGGGTAGACTTGGGACTTAAATCGAATTATCAGAGAACTCAACAGCGCTGTTCACGCGCAATTCATAACATAATTTTAAAATTATATGCTCTTCAAGTACATGGTTATAAATTTTGTAAAGCTTGTAAATTTATCAAAATTATTATGTTTGTATTATGTTGTTGAACATTTGTTTTCTAAAAATTATTTCAAATCAATTATTCTTATAATTTAGTCACATAAAATATATATAAAAAAAACTTAAAAATTACACAGACTGTAAACTTGGGACACTAGAACTTTTGTAATAAATCTAATTAAACAAATTTTCAGACTGTAACTTTGCGACACTGGAACTTTTGTAATAAAACAAGTTAAAAAAATTCTCAAAATTTTGAGTCAAAAATTCAAAACGATATATAACTGTTGTGCGCGTGCGTCACTTATTAATCTTAATGGGTATCTAAATAATATTTAGAAGAGACACGAAAGGAAGAGAAGTAAGTCGTTAATCTTTATTATTATGACATATGCTGTCTATATTAAATCACTAGCGTATGGTTGCCGAATCTCTCTCATCGCTTTCGCAACGAAGTTAACCTCTTGCATATTCGTCGATTGCGAACGTGCTCGTAAGTAGGGATCTGCTCACACATAGTGGTCGTCGGCCCCTGCCAGGGTCTTTCTCCCCTCCGCGTTACCATTTACGGGGCCTTTTCTCCGCTCCGTCGTCGTACGTAAAGTGGGGAGAATAAGCTCATTGCGAGAAAGAGAAAGAGAGGAAGCTAGACTCGCGGGAGAAGACAAGAAGCGAGAGCAAGAGAAAAAGAGAAGAAGAGACGGAGAGTGAGAAAGCACTCTCTCACGACGACTGTTGCATTGTCTACGACATACAGGATAAGCCCGCGCCGCGCGCACCACACACTACCATGTTGGATTCCTTTTGCGTGCGCGGCTGTAGATCAAAATTATAAGGCGGAACGCGCTTCGGAACGTCCGCTCAAGATTCCCTTGAGTGTGCCACGAATCTTCTTCCTGTACTTCTTTTTTTTCTCTCTCTCTCTCTCTTTTTTCGTCGCTACAACGAAAAAAAAGAAAGTGAAGAACGGCTTCGAGAATGCCGTGAAGATCGATCTCGCTTCGTTCGTCTCTCTTCTCTCTTTTTCGAGACTATCTTATAAACGAGACCGCGCTTCTTTAAACTTGCGTCTCTCTTCGACTGGCCTTCGACCGCCGTGCGAACAGCCATTCATTGGGTAGATAGGTCAGGTGACACGTATCGCGTGTGTTGCACTTATCGAGTGTAGCTCCAATGGCTGCTTTTCTCAGCAGATAACGCTTGCCAAGCAACAAGTGACTTGAGGAGTATAGAAAAACCTGCCTATATTGCGTTTGTATATTTGGGAGTAACGTCTCAACACACTTGAACACCAAAACAATTGCTCCACATATGACTCGCGTAATTTTGTTTCAATCCTCGAATTGTCGGATCTTTGGCGTTAATTTGTGGATCCGATCGGAATCGTTCGAGATTGATTTTTGTATTGAATCTCCGAATTTTCTCCATTAAATTTTGTTTCAACGCCGCCCGGTCCCCTATTTTACGGTCCATCGAGTAGATCGGCAAAGGCGCACGCAGCGATAAGCCGCAGTGAGTCGTGGAGGTCGAGAGAGCCTGCCTAAGGTGAGTCTAGGGCCGCAGCCATTTTTCCGCAGCTTCGCGCGGAGCGGTCCAACCAGTATCCCCCCTCCTTTCTCCACCTACTTCCTCCCTCCAACACGCGCGCGGCAGATATCCTGGACCTCGACACATCTCTGTGGTGTCTTCCACGTAACTACCCAAGGATCAGGTAGGCTACGCGGCTGATACCCGTTAGAGTTACGACGAAGAGACTTTAGAAGAAATAAGGCCCGCAGGAGAGGTGGGTTCCAGGCAACAATGACGCCCAGTTGGACGCGACGGCTCGACACTCTTCGCATGCACAAACTTGTGCTGTTTAGCAATATTATTACGCTTGTAAATAAATATGTATCGAGGTGTTTCACGGTCAATTGATGGATTTTAATTGTGAAACTTCTCATCGTATTATCGCTCGTTCGGATATTCTTCAACGTAAAAAGCGTTCGGTGGTTTTACGTTTTGTGTTTGATATTTTTCGAGAATTTATGACTAGATACAATTCTTGAACTTTGGTGTGTGAAAAAAAACTTGAATCTCAGTAATAATAATAATAATAATAATTTTGTGATACAATGTGATGTGAATGGTTTTTTGATTCTGCGGTATTTGCGTGAAAAAAAAAATGTGCGAGTGTAGCGACGAATGTGCCGAAGACGTGGAAAGATGATGTCTTATGAGCGTTTTGTTAGGTTTGTAAAAATCGTTTTTTGCTTAAATCGATCCGGTCGGAAGTTCTAGAAGGAAGAAAATTTTGGACGAGATTCAAGCCCTGCGCGCCTGAAATGACTACCCTCGGTCTCTCCAAAGTCTTCATATTGGACAAGTATTTCACGGAGCTGCAGAAGTTTTGGGAGACCGAGAAGAAGCTACAAGGTACAAAATTTTACCAAAACGTCTGACATTTTTGTGACATGGTTCTTGCGAAATCTCTAAATAATTTTTCTTCGATTTTCTACACTTTTTCAAAGTTTTTTTCTTTGATTATTTTTATTACGTGTCCACGTATAAAAACACATTCAAGTTTTATTACGTTTTACACGCGCGAAGCTGTAGAGAATTCGAAAAATTTCCTTTTTTCGAACACGCAAACATTTTTTTCCCGTAATTTAAATTTTTCTATTTGAACAAAATGCTCGAGCGATTGAGTTTTTATTTAAAAGCGTAAAGATAAAAGAAGACTTTACACACATTCAAAATTATTTTGGAACGGTAACGTAACGATAAGAGTTTGCGAAATGGACTTGGTACTGTCCTGGGCCACGCTGAAAATGAAGAGTTGCGATAGACATTATAAAAGTTGTCTTACAGTTAAAGTAACATAGTTTCCTTGTATCTCTCTCTCTTTACAGTTGGTCTTTCTTGATTACCTTTTAACATTCTTGTAACTGTATTCAACAAAATTAAAATCTTTTGTGATAAAAAACTTTTACACGATTTTCCGTATCAGAAATTTGTGTCGTGTGCGTTAAAACATTTGCATTTTTGCGAGTTTATTGATATTCCCGTCGTTTCCAAACCAATTTAAACAATTTGAGAACGGATGTTTCTCCCGGGTAATGCGTATGCGATTTACATACAAAATATATAATCTTATTATAATAATATAATTTTTTTTAACTAATAACGCATTAACACGCATATCTAGAAAAGTTTCAAAGAAGAGAACGCGCTGCGACAACAAAATAACTTTTTTGTTCGCTTGTTTCCCAACTCAAAAGCCTCATTATTTTGCCGTCTAGGACATCCTTACAGCTATTGTTTCATTTTACGCGCGTCTTTCACAATTACGGGTTTCCCAAGTAATTAGGTGGGTGAGGGGGGGTGCGAGGTATAATTAAAATTGTCTCCACACACATTTCTTTACTGTCATTAACTGCGGTAAAAAAATAAAAAAATATTTTCAAAAAATCTGATAAATAATTTAATATTTAACTTCTCTACAATATCATATTTAATTATTTGTATGTAATTATATAATTATATAAAATGTAAGTATACTTAAGACGCGCAAATGTGCTTATATTATAAAAAGATGATAGTTTTAATAATTTTACGTAAAATTTATTAATTTTATAAAGAACCAAGAGTTCATTTTTTCTCTCTCTCTCTCTCTCTCTCTCACTCTCACTCTTTTACGTGATTTTCATATATATAAGACAATATTGAGTTTGCTGTTTTTTATAAAAAAAAAACAGCAAACGAGACAGAGTCAGATAACATAATATTTTTGTTATAAATATGTAAAACCATATCATCAATGTTTTCCGTTATCTAGATAAAATTATCTAGATGTTCATCTAGATGTGATAATTGTTTTATTTTATCTTTATCTAAATAATTAAAATATATGACATCTTTGTCTGTATCTCAGATAAGAAAAGTAGTATCTTTTGTAAATTATCTAAGATAATGAGTACGCTTTCTGAATGTGACTTTTCAGTACGGGATAACAAATAATTGTACCTCGAAGAAACAGTTTACAGATCCGATAGCACATTTGAAAAACTTATTATTTTCTATAGATTTTCTTGAGATGTATTATTTTAATTTCCCAACTTCTTTAATATCTTAAAATTATCTAGATAAAAATCTCAACCACAAATCATCTTTTAACTAGATATGATCAAATCGGATTATCTTCATCTTATCTGAGATAGATACGTATATGTTTTATCTAATCTGTATCTAGATTATTTCAAATTATCTAAGCGAAACACTGCATATCATTTGAAACATAGTCATTCTTGTGTGTCGCAATGTGCGCAACAATATGAAAAAAGTCTTTTCTCGTTGGGATTTATACGGGGCAACGGCCTAAACTGGTGTATCAATCCGTAGCAGTTCTCCTCCACGTGCTGCGCGTGCACGTGTGTGCGCTACGTTTTGAAACAACAAAAGTAGATAATAAACGCATAAACGCGAAAGTTTTTATATCGCGATGAATATTTATATAACACATATAGAAAATCATAAATAACAACAACGGTGTGAAAAGAATAATAAAATGAAAACAACGTGAAACAACAATAATAATAATTACCATCAAATTAATTAAACGATACCTAATATAGGATACATCGGTACCGAGATTAGACGTGAACTCGTCATTATCCCGGAGACGAAGCTTCCTGTTGTTTGATAACGCGCAATCCTGTTACGCTTATTGCCACTTTGTTAGTAGCGTTACATTTGCAAAGTTCCGTGGCAAATTGGCACCGTGGGAAATTACCATTTTATTAAGACCCGACATAGCCGCATATTTATCCTCTATGTATTTCGGCGCCGCCTGTCCGTCCCGTAGAGACGCGTGCGACACTTGTAAGCTCTTTGTGTCTCGCAACAATCTTCTGATTCATCGATACAATAATTTAATGCATTCGCTTCGACTCACCGAACAAAAATTTACTTATTTTTATTTTTTATTATTATTCCGCTCCGCTACTCCTTTTTAACCGCAATGATATAGCGATAAAAATATCAAACAAATCAAAATTCGATCGAAGTTGTTTGCGTCGCAGAGCGTGACGCGAGGTAGCTACTACGAATCTTCGTAAAAAAACAAAAACAAACAAAAAAAATATCTGCCAACTAAATTTGTAAATGGATCACGCGTTAAGATAAGCCCCCGCGGCTAATTACGAATTAAGTTTCGACATACGTGCTGGCGTTGCCATTAATTTCGCCGCAATTTGGTAATCTGCGCGCACAAGGGAGGAATGCAGAAATACCTGGCGCGATTAATCTACCTCTTTCGTTATCTGGTTACCCTATGCCGAAGCATAACGGCGCACTTAAGATAATCCCTGTTCTGTTTTTTTTTTTTTCGTTTTATTTTATCGCCATTTTTCTAGAGTTTTCGTATTTTGTCCCTCGGTTCTGGTTGTTGTTTTTTTTTTTTTTTTTTTTTTTTTGATGTGTAATATAAGTCGCACACTTTCTACATTTGAATCATCATTACGATTGACGGTTCTTTATCGAATTTATTATTACCAATAATTCAGAAATTACATTACAAGGCTTTTTTTTACCGAGGTATATGTTTCTTCGAATTAAATAACGCAATTCGGTGTTTTGGAGCTCTCCGCCGATGATCGGCGGGATTTTGAAGTTAAAATATTTATAGATTCGGGGAATCCGGGGATTTCTCTCGTATTTCGACCGTTTATAGATTTCAAGGACAATCGCAAACCGGCCGAGTTAGAAAGAAAGAGATATTAATGTCTGAGAGAAGGTCGACGAAACGATATAAGTCCGAGAAACATTAGTCGAGAAGAGTTACGACGAACGGAATGTAGGTGTTCGGTGCCACGGAGAAGAATAAGGCGAAAAAGAACCTGTTTTCTTCGAAGGAGCGCGTTTCAAGCTCCCAAAGGTACCTGCGCGCAGTTTAATTCCCGCGCAGTAGGACCTGCCAGTTACAATACTCGAAAAGACAGAAAAATAAACCTGTGCGAAGATCCGTCTATTATTTACGTCTCTTTTCTGTCCGCGATCTCAACACATATATATAATTATATATTTGTCATTTTTCTTGCTAATGTTGTCACACAACTTATGTTTATTAGCGCTTTAGTTTTGTTTGCTATTAAACTATTGTTATTACCGCTGCGTTTTCTGTTGTTGTTGTTGTTGTTTTCCGATTCAGCAACACTAAATATTCTTAACCTTCGGAGGATTATCAAATATACTAAAATAATAAGCCGCATTGAATGTCGGCTTTCTCCGTGAAAACGGATTGTAAATAAACCGCCGCGCGCATTAAACAACTTACTTCGCGGTTTCCAGAACCGGTTATGTAACTAATCTCGTATCCGGAAGTTAGTTGTACCGCGAGTAACGAGACCAGTTCCCCGGTTAGCACCGAATCAACCATCGAGGAGTATCGCGTATCGTCAGGCCGAAGCGAGTTCAGTTCTCTTTCCTTAAAAAGAGGCGAGACACGTTTCGAAAGAATGCGGTACTTTGCAGAAACACTTTCGATCGCATTTAGAATCAGCCGTGAAAGACCGATGAAGATGAGCTGGAAACGTAAGTTTTAGGTCGGCTGTTCAATTCACTGGTTAATCCGCACACAAGATGTGTACGTGGATAAAGTTTACTCTCGCGAAAAAAACATTACGTAATAATAATCATCAATTAATTTTAACTGTTAATTTGTATCTTAACTAATCTTGAAACATTAAAATATACAATTTAATTAAAAATGCTGCGATATAGAATTCAAGAATAGACAAACAATGTTAATAACAATAACAATAATCGTAGCGTGAAAATTAGCAACAATAAAAACAACAATAGAATAAAGAGAAACATTCGCAAATAAGTTTTTTTCAAGATTGATTGTTATGCATAAACTATCAGACAAATTCATTTTAGATGATAATGAACTGATAATATATTGATGGTGAATTAATAATAATTTGTGCGCAACCGGAATACGCATAGTGGATATTACAATTACCATCGCTATTAAACCATCCATATGGTTTACTATAATCTACTTTATATGTATGTAATTTATGCATGTAGTGTATATACATTGTTTGAATTCATACATAAATGGACTATTAAATATATGTATATCCATTATTAGCTCTGAGGATCAGAAAGATTGCTGTGAAACTGGTAGTTTGCTACACAAATAAACTCGACTTTATATCGCGCGGTTCGCGAGCGAGGAAATGTGATGAAAATTTTATTTAACGACAACTTTCTCTTTTCCCATGCCTGTCCTTGAACACAAGAGAAATCTATTCAATTTAATAGGTATGCACAAGTTGCGTACTAAATATCTCTTTTAAATATAATTTTTCCGTTTTATTTCAATTACCCGTTTCTAAAAACTCGTTTGTATATTATCTTTAGAGCGTTTGCGCTCGTAAAAGTTTCTTAATTTTTGAAAACAAGTTGCTATGTAAAAAAAAACAATGTCTATATTTGACAATGTCTCTCTCTCGACGGAGAGAGTTTCATAACCCCGACGATTATAACACACCGGTCGCTCGCGTGGTACGTGACTACAATCAACCGCAACAGCACTCCGGCTTCCCTCCAGGTGATGGAGAGAAATCTCGAAGTCCATCGAGAGGAGCGCGGAGGAGCTTCCTCCGTTTCGATTTATCCGCTATTGTATCTTAGATTAACGGTATCCGCGAGGAGCTCCGTGCGCGCAACTACTCAGAGAGAGAGAGACGCGCACACGCGCAACAGATAAAGAGGATAATGAGAGGTGAAGTCGAAGAACATGTTTTTGAAGCACAGGATCTGAAAGAATGTGCACCGCAAATATGAAAAGAATTTTTTTAGAAAAAATGTTTTCTTTATTTCTAGAGATATCTGTTTTTCTCTCGACATAAATATTATATATTCAAGAAAACACACCGATTCCTTCTACGTCTATTGGATTGGTAATTAGAATTGCAAGCTAAATATAGAAAGATAGAAATATATATTTATGTTAATTAATTTCTACTATATCACTACCGAAAAAATTCACACATCAATATTTTTTCAAAAAATATATACAAGACCTAGTCTAGTTTACAGAGTACCCAAAGTATGTTTGTTAAGTTTTCTAATTAGATATATATATATATATATATATGATTGTGTTTTGATTATAAAATGTACTCTATTGCGTGTCCAATCATGGTGCAACAAAATCTCAGAGAAGACTTCTCCTTTCGGTTCTTCCAGATGCTTCCTCATCGAACGAAGCGGTGCACCTACAGCAGCGCTTGCGGAGCCTCAGCACGGAACTAGTGACCCTGAGGAACCGGCTGCACGTAAGCCAGCCAGCGAGTGCGTCAGGGCCGGCGGGCGGCACCTCCGGGCCCTTGTCGAAGAGTCCGGAAAAGAGTGGCGCGCCTACCTCGCCCGCGCCGGCGGTACCTCCGAGGACCACCCTGCCTCCTGGTGGCGCGGTACCGCACGGGATCGGTCATCCGTCGGGTCATACATTGACGGCTTCCGCGATTGTTCATCCACACGTCAATCACGCCAACGCGAACACACTCAACCATAACTCAACCGCAACAAATAATTTAATATCCGGTTAGTGCGCGGATGTTCCGCATGCATACCGCAGATTTTATTACATTTTTATAGGCAATAATTGAAATTCTCTCTGATACACACACACACACGCGCACACACACAATCGCGGTATACATTTAGTTCTTAAAATTGATTTTTTCACAAGTTTATTACATAAGATAATAAAAAAAAATTTCAAGAAAGGGACAAGGCAGTTGGAGTCAAAAACACAGTTGTTGTTGTGTATAAATGTAATAATGATGATTTTCTTTATTTGCTAGTTAATAAAAATGACGTTTCGACCATAGTTTTTGGTCTTTATCAAATTCGTTCTACAAGAATTGATTACAAAAAAAATTAACAAAAAATAATGTATGAAAATACTATTAACAAATTATGAAAAAGTGAAAACGCATTGTAAAATTATAATTTGTTGACTTACAGAAATTTGCTGTTCGCAAAAACGTCAATCAAGATACAAATTCAAGCTGTTATATGGTAGTGATCGCAGATAAGAGTGTTACTTAACTGAATAAATTTTTGAACAGACATCATATTATAAGATAATAAGATATTTCTGTTTGTTAATTGATTCCTTTAAAAAATTAAAATAAAGAGAGAGACGATTTTTCTGGAAGAACAGAATTATTTATTTACGTCAAGAGTTTCAAGTGTATATAAATATTTTTAATAAAATATATGAGAGAAATAATTAATATATTTTATAAATGTGTTTTCTCGTTTTCAGATTTGGATCCTTCGAAGCGGCACAACGGCGTGTCCGATGACGGTATAGTGTCCTGCGTGACAGCGCTGGGATGTCTCCGATCGCCTCCTATATCTAGTATCATTGCTGACGTGAAAAATGCGAGGAGCAATCAGAATCAGCATCGATGTCTTCCGAAAGTCAGCGCGCCTTCGCCCGGCCCTGCAACTTCCACGGCCTTCGACGACCTCATTCATCTACCCGGGCCTCTCACAGAAGACGCGGTGCTCAAGTGTCTTCAGGCTCGTTTCTGCGCGAAGCAATATCACGTAAGATCATCACTGCTTTTGTTTACAATAAATATGTGAAATATTAAAGACATTCTCATTTTGAACACTTAAAAAAATAAATTTGAAAGTGTGACAGATTTCGAATTTTCTCAAAAGTTAAAAGTCGGCTGTAATTTAAATAAAACACAAGAAACGACTACATTTAATGCCAGTTGTATTGCAGAAATGAAAAACGAGTATACGAATTTACCAAAAAAACAAAAAAAAAGATTACGAAATTTGAACTTTCTAATTCGCGACCTTAACAATCAAAAAAAAAAATTGCCAAAAAGTTTCTACGAAATCTCTCGAGTTGTGAATATATATATACGTTAACACGCGTGCGCATCCATGCACGACTAAACGCAACTGTGCCGAAGCGGAATGCAAAGAGACGGTCTTCGAATCGTATACACATATTCATAAGTACACGGGATGTGCCGCTTTAGTATTGGTGCCCGCAATAACGCAAATACACCGTACAGTACGGATGATATGCTCTGCCATTAAGAATTCACCCCGTCTCCCGACTGGTTCGCGCATGCCACCCTGCTACAGGAAACCCACGCACAGGTGGCACGCACGCTCGCATTCCGATGATGTGATCGGCCAGATCGGCTTTAATTTTCATCCATTTCCCCTACCATGTCATAAAAAAAAAAAA